ACTGTGAAAGTATTCAATACACTGGCCAGACGCTTGAATCTGAGCGGAGATTTCATGAGACAATGTGTGAAGTTTCAGGGAGACGAGTAATCTTACCTTGATTGCAAGTGTCCGGATCGCAGCAATCACATCAAGGGAGCCGCCTAGAACACGATTGTCAGCTCGGGTGGGATCATATTCCCAGATGGCTGTCGCATTTTCGACAGCCGCAATCTTTGTGATGTGGCCCATCACGTCAATGTTCCCAAGGTTGACAACGTGTCCGAGGCAACTATGGACAACAAAATTCAATCAAGGGGAATGGAAATGAATGAACAAAATGTACGGTAACTGTTGCTCATCACTATTCCATTCGAGGCCTCGCCGGGTGTGAATATCCTCAATTGTTTTGCAGGTGGTATTGTTATTTCCCGTGTTATCCAATGTTGCTGTATATAGCTGATCAGAATAATATCAGCAGGGTCAATGACAAGCGACAGGATGACAAGCGACAGGACAAACCTTTGTTCCGGTTTTGTCCATAATCCCAACACGGTCGAGCAGACCTACAGAATATCTTCCGAGGTTCTCCCCGCTATGCCCACCTGATAACGCCTTGAACCCAATAACGGCCAATTTCAGCTTCCACTTCCCATCCGTCACTGCAATCCAATGCGCAGTCATTCCTTGAAAGCCCGCCTTCGTCGTATCGGCTGACCATCCGTCTTGAGTTATCGACACTTTCCCAGGAGCTGCCTAAGGTAAGTCGTCAGCATTATCCGAGGCATCGAAAAATGAAGTTCTTACGGTTATTTCTTTCTTTAGCAACTTCATGTGTTTGGTAAATTCATTGTGGAGGTGTATTTTGGCGTCGTAGGAACTGGGAAGGTCGTTAGTCGTCGATTTCGGCCTCATCGCTACCAAGGCATTTCGAAATGCAAGGTTATCGGCCAGAGCAAGTGGCTATAGGTGCGTAACACGTCATTTATCTGAATAGAACATCAACGAATGACTTACTTGGTTATTAGTTGCAATCAGCTTCGTGACTGCATGGAGCGCTGCCTCCCTTGTGAACTCCCGCGGTCCTGTAACGGTCTTGAAGTCTAACAGCTGTTGCTGCTGCTTCTTCGTCAGCCAACCTCTCTGTTTTGCATCCTTCTCCTCCTCCATGGTCTTCCAGATATCTCGAGGTATGGCCCAATGGCTCATTGGTATGTTTTCTTTTTCGCATTTTTGCTTGTAAAGATCGTAATGCTGACGGATATGTGCACGACATGAAGAATTTCCTCCCTTAAGGAAGGCCTTGCGCTTCCCATAGGTTTTGACGAATGCCTCGTCACCCCTGGTCGGTAAGTAAGCATCTCCGTGGAATGGTAGCGCAATGGCTTACTTGCAAACAGTACACCAACGTCCTACCAATGTATCATACTTGTCGGCACTTGTCTTGAACTTCACGGTGACTCTGTCAGTCATTATAGTGAGGAGGTCGAGCATTGATTCCTTTTTTACAGGTTTTTCTTGGAGGTCAGCTCCACGTTGGTGGTCATTGAGACTGTCATCCTAGGGTATGGTAAGTCAACGAAGCTTGTATCAGGTGATAACGCTAACCTCTTGTTCATCAGCAGGTTGCTCATCATCAACACCATCATCCACTTCCTCAACATCCTGACCAGGCCGTTCGTCATTGTCGGCCACCTCCACTTCGTCTGAACCTGAAAGCTCGATACGCTGATGCTTTCCGCCTTTCTTCTTGGGTCGGCGTGGTGAATCGGAGTCGCTAGCTGAGGAAAATTCGTCGTGTTCGGGGCCGCTCTCGTCGTCAGAGCCCCTTGTTGCCCTTTTGCGGGTGCCCTGTGTCGTCGCTGATTTTGACTTGCTCTTCCCCGCGCGTGGCTTACCCTTTGGCTTGGGATCATGGAGTCTTGGTGGTATCCCTTTAGCAATAGTTCGAGTGGTAATAGGCATGGTAGAGTTGAGACTGCCGTGTATTTAAATTTTCATTGACAGCAGCGGTATACTATTTGGCAACGCATTATCAAAGGTTCCTATCAAAAACATAGAATTTGAGGTAAATATATTCCAAGTTGTAAGCTTGGCCACACCACAATTTGAAGGCTCAAAAGACCGGTCTTTAACCGGTTAAACCGGTTTTTGCCCGGTCTTGAAAATTTGGAATTCATAGAGGACCGTAGACCGAACCGCGGTTACGGTCTTTGTCGGTCCTCATAATTTGCGGTCTTCATCAGTCACGGTCCGGTCTGGTCACGGTTTTTTTCCAGTCCTGTGACCGGACTTCCAAACACTAATTTCTTTGACCCTGGGCGTTGCCATCGTATACCGTAGTTAGTGCCCTTGTATCTTTTTTCCCTATCGGCTTGTATCGGTCACAAGTGCCCTGAGGAGCATTGAGCTGATTAAGAGCCCATCGAGCTTGGTTGTATGCCTGGAGAGCACTTTTCATATCGCGATCCGATCCTTGTACAGCATCGTAAGCCCGAGTTACACGTTTTTTCGATTTCTTGGCTCGAATTCTCTTCCAATCAAGGAATGACTTGTAACCGATGGCTTCCCGTAAATGCTTCAGAGCGTTATTTGCCTGGGCCACTCTCAATTCTATCTCTACACACCGGGCTTCTCCCAGTGATGTAGGGAGGAGGGCTGCTTGAAATGAGGATGGTAAGAGGATTTGTTGATGTTCGGCCGATCCATATCCCTGATCAGGCAAACTGGGTATGCTCGGTGCTGGGGTTTCCTCTTCATCACAATAGCTCCAGTCATCGACATCCACAATATCCTCTGAGAGCGGTGGATCATGAATAGTTCCTTCATTAATTTCCAAGTTGGGAAAATGGCCTTGACTGGCCTCGGAAAACTCTTCAAGTCGCTTGGACAGCTTCTCTCAACGTTTCATTATCTCCAGCTTCTGATCGGCACTTGGACGACTGCCTTGAGCCTTCACAAAGGCGGCCAATTCGGCTCTGTATTGTTCAATGTTTGAATCTAGCAATATTTGACTTTACTCACTGGGCTTCCTGAATTTTGATGCCGGTGTTTACCCATCCAGTTAACCCTGGCTTGACCTTGCCTGCCTGTTCTTTAGTCATAAGTTTTAGCCGAATGCCCTTTTCGGTCTCGGCTGATTGAATGATTTTACAGCTGGCCTTTGTGATGGAAAACTTGGTCCTTACCTTCCTTGACCTTTACGTAATAGATGTCCATGGCGGAAAGGTCCTTTGCCCGGTTCAAATTTGCCGTTTTGATCTGTTGCTCCCATTCTTGAATCTGTTCCTTACTTGCTGAGGCACTTAATTCTTCAAGAGCCTGGAAGCTCTCGGAGAGCCTGAGTTTTGCTCGCTTCCACTTCTTGCAAAGGCTACTCACTTGACGTTTATTAGCTTAGAAGCAATGTAAAAGCAGTTGAAAATAGATACCCATATTGATCATTTTTTTCCAGTTATTATCCAGCATGTGAGCATCCAACACCTCCGATCTATGGGCCAAAGTCATTGTCTGGGTGGTGCGACCAACCTCGTTGAGAACAGCCCACAAAGTCTCCAATATCTCTCCATCTGTTTGACCGGCCCCAGGGATGAATGTTGGGGCAAATCATGGAAAGCATATTTCTTGATGGCCATGGACATGGAATAAGCCGATCCCGGCTACCAATAACAAGTCTGGTCTGATCCAGAGGTGTTTCGCACCACATTTTATCCAAGCCATCAAATTCACCATATACTGGCAGTTGATGTCATAGACAAAAATAACCCTTTTTTCTTCACTGGTCATGGTATTCTTCAGAGCCTGGCACAAGGCATAGTCCATGTTCATTTGCCTGTTTGGTAAAACAACGATTCATCCTGAGGATAACTTCCATACCTTTCTCCCTTTTGAAAATCTACCACCGAACCCGGACAAAAGGTGCCATGTCGAAGGCAAGCAATGGCTCCAATTCCAGTAGCGTCAAAACCTCGGTGAAATACATTCTTGTTGTTGATAGCATTGTGCTCATGACATGTCCTCAGCTGAAAGATTCAGACACCGGCCGAGTTGCTTGAAGGATAAAAACTTACATCATTATCTTCAATCGCGTCCCGAAGGTGGCTCAAATAAGGTCCTCTTTGCGTCATGAAACTATCCCCATTTTTAAGCCAAACATCGTCTTTGGGCTGTGCCTGTTTTTGGTGGGCTGCTGTGAAATTGCCATCGGCTACAAATCCTCTGGTATACTTCCAGTTAGTAGGATCATTGGGGTTTTTGTTCCAGTCATCAGGAAGGTTGACTCCTGGTTGTGGGCAGGTAGGGCAAAAAAAACCCATCTCCCCCGGCGTCGGAGCCTTACCTTTGTGTCCAAATCCAAAAGTAGCCAGTTCGGTAAGATTACGGTATTGTCTACCAACCCTTATTAACTCGTGATACCGGTTCTGTCAAATGTTTTGAGATGGGAGTATACCTCGGTACTTGAACAACATACCGGAATGGAATTAGGAAATGCAAAGTTGGTGATCCTTCTCAATTTGCAGTACTTTATAGTGCCCCTCCCATTCCTGCAGGAATCCACAGGAATCCGCAGGAATGGAACCGGATTCCGCAGGATTCCACAGGAATGGAACTGGATTCCACAGGATTCCACAGGAATAGGACCGGAATCCACAGGAATCCACAGGAATAGGACTGGAATGAATGTAAATTTACTGATCAGCTTTTCATCATGTGACTACATATGTATTTATTCAACTCCTACCTTATCCTGATAACTTAGTACTCAAAATCCCTCATAGAACCCATATTTCAAGCAATAGATTTATATGTCAAATTATAATTTATTTAATAAGGACACAAAATGTATTTTACTACATACAATCTATATTAAAGCAGGGGGGGGGTAGGGACAAGGAAGGGGGTAGGGACAATGAAGGGGGTGGGGACAAGAAAAGGGGGGTAGAGACACAGAGGGAGAGTGTGTTGTAGAGGGAGGGGGGGAGGAGTGGTGAGGAGAGAGTGTGGTGGAAGGGGGGACTAATGGGGTGGGGAGAGTGTGGTGGGGGACTTGCATTGTCGATGTTGCATGTCGCCGTCGCATTGTCGACATTGCATGTTGCTGTCGCGTTGTCGACGTCGTGTGTCGCCGTCATGTTGTCGCCATCGAGTGTCGTTGTCGTTGTCGTCGCGTTGTCGACGTCGCATGTTGTCGTCGCGTTGTCGTTGTCGCGTGCCGTTGTTGTGTTGGCGTCGTCGCATGTTGTACGTGGGCGCTGGGCGTTGGGTGTCGTCGTCGACCTCATGTGTGGGCGCTGGGTGTTGTTCCGTGGGCGCTGGGGCATTTTCGTGGGCAGGGTGTGGTTTTCGTGGGCGGGGTGCGGTTTTCGTGGGCGTTAGGGCGTTTTCGTGGGTGCTGGGGAGTTTCCGGGGGTGGTGGCAGCTGCAAACCCCTGTGTCGTCGCGTGGTCGTCGTCGCGTTGTCGTCGTCGTGTGGTCGTCGTCGCGTTGTCGTCGTTGCGTGGACGTCGTCGTGTGCCGTCGTCATAGTTGTGGACGTCGTCGCGTGGACGTCGTCGCATTGTCGTTGTCGCGTGGTCGTTGTCGCGTTGTCGTTGTCGTGTTGTCGTTGTCGCGTTGTCGTTGTCGCGTGTCGTTGTCGTAGCCGTGGACGTCGTTGTTGTCGTGGGCGTCGTTGCCATCGTGCCGTGGGGCCCTTGTTTGATTTGTGACGTGGCGTTGCGGCGTTCACGTGGTCGTCGTGGTGGGCACTCGTGGATGGTGGTGGATGCCGTCTGGATGGTGGTGGGTGCTCGTGCATAGCGGTGGTGTTGTTGTCGTCGTCCGTTTGGTTGCCACGTCACTGGCGGTGGTTGTCGCTGTTCGTCGCTTGGTGGTCGTCGCCGTTGTGGGGTCATGTCGGGTTGTCGTCGTCGTCGTGGGTGGCGTGGCGTCGTCGGTTTATCGTGACTGTCATGGGGGTGGGGAAGAGGATGCGTGGTGGTGGTGGAAAGGAATGGTGTTGCATTTGTTTGGTAACGTTGCCTTTGTTTGGTAACACAAGTAAAATAAACAAACAAAGGACCGGATTCCGTTGCATTCCGTTCCTGTGCATTCCGCGGATCATTCCGGTGTCAATTCCGGAATGCCCAAATTCCGCCGGATTGGTAAGGCACCGGAATGATGAAAATGGCAGGCCTCCCTGCCAAATTTCATTCCTCCGGAATCCACCGGAATCCGCAGGAATGACCGGATTCCTGCAGGAATTAGGGGGGCACTGATAAGACCTCCAAGAACAGCAAAGGCATGTTGAGTCAAGTCATCAATAGCAATATTAGGTTGAGTTTCAAATGTAGTATTTGAAGTTGAAGCCACATCTCTAATAGAATGCTGTACAAAAGCTTGCCAAATTTGTTTTCGACTAATTTTGAATGTGTTGTGAGGGTCAATAGTTCCAAAGCTATTGTTCCAATATTGTGTATAGGTGTTTGCAGATGCATGAAATGAGTACATGCCATTCAGCAGAGCATTTGAAAAGATAGTGTCAACCCAAATATTGCTTCCAATTTGGAGGTATTTGGCAGAGTTCAGGAATGTTTCTGTCTGATTGCCTTGATTATGATGTATTTGATGGTCAGCATAATACATTGAGTGACATGTTTTACACTCTCCAGTCAATACACCAACATTCTTGTAAATTGAAGATCCTCGAATCAAAGTCACCAGAGGCATATCACGTTGACAAGTATATACTCCAATATGTCGGGAGTTACATGAGGCAGTTTCGCACTCCATGTCAATAGGACAGATGATTTGTATGGGCTCAATAGCCTTTTGAGAAACTTTCTGCAGCTTTTTATTGTACGAGTAATTGGTGGCCAGCGAAGAGCTACTTCTTTAAGAACTGGTCCCAAGTTCATGTTGACAGTGACAGGAACCTTCAGACTTGGTTGCATGGTGGCAAATTCCAGTTCAACAGGATCTAGAGGTGAAACATATATCTTAACAACACCCTTGACTTTTCCTAAGACAGGAGCAATCTGAAAATCTTCATCGTCAACAGGATTGTAATGTTGACCCATAGCTCTGTTCCGCAAAATGCCTCCAGTGGCACGTGAAGAACCCTCAGGACGAGGAGGGCTTTCCATAGAGACATCTCCTGGTTCATCACCAGAAGTCAATGGAGCAGTGGTAGAAATAGGAACAGTGGTATTAGAAACAGAAAGAACAGCAGCAGAAACAGCAGCAGAAACAGCAGAAACAGTGGAAATAGCAGAACCAGTGGATGCAGTGGGAATAGCAGAAACAGCAGAAACAGTGGGCATAGCAGGAGAAACAGCAGAAATAGCATGAATATCAGCAACGGCAGGAACAAGAGTAGCAGGGATAGCCTGAACATCAGGGACAACAGGAACAGAAGAAGCAGCAGAACTGGAAGGGATGGAGGAAGCAGCAGGNGCAGCAGAAACAGCAGCACGTGCAGGTGGTGCAACTGANATACCCCTTTGGGTTAAAAGTTTCATAGTGCTTTAAATATTTCAGTATGTAAGATTTAAATAAAGCAATAAAACTCACTGAGTCTGCTTTTTGACCCGCTTGGCTTCTTCAGCTGCCACTTCTGCATTTTTCTGGGCACTGGTTTTGCGCCCCTTTTTGCTAAAAATTCATGTCAGAGAATGTCAAAGTAAATGTGATTAATTTTGTACCCTTTTTTCCCCCCCTTGTTCAGGATGACATCCTTCCCCCTCTTCCCCCCATGTCTGGGCTTATCAACAACCACCTCATCCTCCAGCTCAGCCAAAGCTTCCTCCTCCTCCTCCTCCTCCCCCTGACCCTCCCCTTGACCCTCCTCCTGCTCCTCCTCCTGCTCCTCCTCCTGCCCCTCCCCCTCCTTCCCCTCCTTTTGACCCTCTCCCTCCTGCCCCTCCTCCCCCTGATCTTTCTTAGATGCCTTGTTGGAATCAGACCTCAACCTCTTCTTAGGAGTCTGGTCAGCAGCAGAAGCCTGCCTCTTCCTGGATCTAGAGGTGGAAGCAACAGAGGTTGATTTGGTAGTAGCTCTGGTGGTTGGCATAGTGAGACAGTGAGCAGTGGTGGTGGTTACAGAACAAGGAGCAATTTGCCTTAGATGAGCCAAAGAAGCCAGATATGGGAATGCTTACAAACACTTCACAAGTTTACTCACTCAAAAATTCATAAGTCCGAAAATTCATATCTTCTGAAATTTCAACCTAAGTATACATACTGGCAATAACACACTACCTATGAAATCTCAACGAAAGGTAATGATAACAAATTGCACATCTACTATGAGGTGGGGGGGCAATGACAACAGGAGCGGCTGTAAACGAGGTTAATGAGGCGGTGGCCGTAAACGAGGGTTAATGAGGTGGGGGGGGGGCAATGACAATATAATGAGGGGGGGGGCAATGACAATGGGAGCAGCTGTAAAAGAAGATAACGAGGGGGTGGCAATGACAACAGGAGCAGCTGTAAACGAGAGTTAACAAGGTGGGGGGGGGCAATGCCAACAGGAGAAGCTGTAAACGACAATAACGAGGGGGGCAATGAAAACGGGATCAGCTGTAAACGAGGTTAAACGAGGCGGGGGCAATGACAACGGGAGCAGCTGTAGACGAGGTTAACAAGGTGGGGGGGCAATGACGACGGGAGCGGCTGTAAAGAGGTGGGGGGCAATGATGACGGGAGCAGCTGTAACAAGGTTAACGAAGTGGGGGGGCAATGACGACGGGAGCAGCTGTAAATGAGGTTAACGAGGTGGAGGGGTGCAATGACGATGGGAGCGGCTGTAACGAGGTTAACGAGGTGGGGGGGCAATGACGATGGGAGCGGCTGTAAAGAGGTGGGGAGGCAATGACGACAGGAGCAGCTGTAACGAGGTTAACGAGGTGGGGGGGCAATGACGACGGGAGCGGCTGTAAACGAGGTTAACAAGGTGGGGGGGTGCAATGACGACGGGGAGGTGGGCGCTTGTTGTTTTTTGTGGGCGTTCGTCGTTTTCCGTGTCCGCTCATCGTTTCTCGTGGTGGGCGCTTGTCACAATTCGTGGGTGGGGTGGGCGCTCGTCGTTTTCCGTGTCCGCTCGTCGTTTCTCATGGTGGGCGCTTGTCAAAATTCGTGGGTGGGGTGGGCGCTCGTCGCTTTTCGTATGTGCTCGGGGTGGGCGCTCGTCTGCTGTTGTGGTGAGGACGGAGGAATGGGGTGGTTGGGCAAACACACGTACTATTTGCCCATGACGTGGCAACGTCATGGGCGCCGTCCCTCGTTCTTGGCTCGTCATTCTGCATACCCATACGTTTGCATGGGCGCCATTGTCGTTCGTGGCATGGGTGTGCCGTTCCTCGTTAGCGGGAGTGATGTGGCATGGGCGGTGTCGACGGTGGGCGGTGTTGATGGTAGGCGGCGTCGACGGTGGGCGGTATCGATGGTGGGCGGTGTCGTCGTGGGTTGACACAAACAGTAAACCCACCGCCAACGTCAGACGTCGGCGGTGGTGAGTGGTGTAGTCGAGGTGGTGGTGTGGTGTAGGAAGGATGGTCATGTCGATGTGACAAGTGATGCCACATAACGTTCGATCGGACAACGCCGTGAGTTTGTCCCGCTTTGTAATCTCACCCCGCAGACTGAACAAAATGCTTGATCCTCGTTATCGGTAGCATTGGTTTTCATAATATAGTATATGTTGTAGTATTATAATACTTCTAGTGTTGTCTGTTAATGATAGTGCTCTATTTTCGCATTTTTAGTTGTATTAATAATAATAACTGAGTACTGATGTTACTAGTACAGTCCAGTGGACTCCACTGGACTCCACTGGACTGCTGAAATTAGTATAATGTTTGTTCTAATTCAGTTAATATACCAGTGGACTCCAGTGGACTCCAGTGAACTCTGACTGGACTCTCAGTCCACTGGACTGGGACTGGACTCTGAAAAGTGGCTGGCAGTCCAGTGAGAGTCCAGTGGACTGGACTGGACTGGACTGGACTGGACTCCAGTGGACTGGGCATTGTACCAGCCAATCTGGCCTGGCAAAAGGGTGACTGGAATCCAGTGGAGTCCACTGGAGTCCATCTGGATTACGTGGGGGATGGTAAAGACCTCCACAAATTCTACGAAGGTGAGATATCCTAGTTTTGCTGAGTTTATGATTGCTGAGTAGCCGTTACCAGGCAATCTTTGAGGTTCGGCTCAAGGATGATAACCGCATTGTAGACATGAAGGAAGATTTGTGAGTACTCCCGTTGTTGCACAAGCTTTTTTCTCATACTTCTGGTCAGACTAAAAGGCAACCCTTTGGTACTTGCATACCTCTGGCAAAATGCACCGTCGAAACTCAAACAAGATCTTTCCGCAATCGCCAAACCATCAATCGCTGCATCTTCTTTCCAAACGGCAGAGTCTAGTACACATGTTAATACACCTTCCAGTGCTTCTCTAACAGCGCTCCTGGACAATGCTCACATCGGGGCACTGCAGCCAAACTCTGTAGAAGAACGGCATAATGTGGATGAACCTGGTGCTCTGGCTAATGTGATTTCAGGTGTCCAGCCGGATAAGTCTCAGGGACGAAACAGCACTCCCCAATCTTCTGAAACTCTTAGCTGCTCTGGTTCAGAACCTCATAACAGCGTTGATGGGCTTGATAGCACTCCAGACGGTCTTGGCGATACTCTAGCTGCTCAGAACATCATTCCTTCCAACGATCAAGGTAGCTCTCCCTCTAGACCATCTTCCGGTGCCCAGCGAAACCGTTCAAGCCAGTCCAACAATCGAGATAATCTAGATATACCTCAGAGAAATGCCAATTGTCTTGCAGCAACACGAGGAAGAAGGAAACGACCACATCAAGAAGTTGAACCTGTGGAGAACGAAGTTTATGAAGTGGAAGCAATAGTGGGATTTGCCTATGATGATGATGTGAGTACGATTACTCCTTGGATAATAAAAAGGGATTGTATATTGACTGAATCCCAGAACGTTCCATACTGGGAAATTAGCTGGAAGGGATATGACGACACAACTTGGGAAACATTTGACAAACTTCAGTGAGTGTCTCCAAAGTGTTATGGCCAAAAATCAAGGTTTGACCAGACAACTTGAAAGGGGATGCATGGACATCTTCTCCCAATATAATGAAGTTCAAGGAATCCACCCAATGGACTACGAACAGGCTCTGCCATCTATCCAGGCAGTAATACCGGATGAACGTTGTCTCAAAAGGCGCAAGATCGAACTGGGTCTTCTTTCTGGTAATATTGCTAAGCTTGAGTGCATCCTAGATGGTAAGATGCTTGCTAATGAGCTCAAGGTCCTGGTCAATGAGAATGGAAAAATGACTGATTGCCTCGCATTCTCATCCTCAGATACTGGGGATATGGTCTCACTCTTGGTTGAGCAAAATGATATCCAAAACTTCTTCGAAACCTATCTGCATGTCACTCCAAATGGAGATTCGCTTTCCTGTCTCTCTGGTGGAATTCTATTCCAACGCTTGAGGACTTTACACTCCTCCACATATTCCAGTTGGACTCCAGATGGACTCCGGCGGACTCCAGATGGATTACTGCTGTTCATCCAGATTTTTTCTCTGGTGGCAACCCAGCCAAACTGGAGTCCAGGTCCACCATTTGGACTGCATGGACTCCACCTCATAACACAGTCAACCAGCCAGACTCCATATGGAGTCCAGAAAGAGTTTACAATTTCTGTTTATTTATTATTGTTATTATTATTAGACCAGAAAAAAAGAATGCCATGACCGGGAATTGAACACTCAATCACTTGGGCAGCTGTAACTGCCGCAATAAACCACTACACCACGAAGGCTTTATTAGCTCTATAACTTTTACACATCATATACCCTCGCTCCCGGCACGTTCCGAAAGCACGTTGGCTTTGTTGCCGCGTCGTTGTCTTTTGTCTTCCCACCACCACCTTCCCACCATCTCCAACCTCGTTCGACACACCCAACCACCGTACCTCGCCCAAACCAACCTCACGACAACAGCAACCCCACGCAACAACACCACACCCCAACAACAGCCCACAACCACCACCGAGGCTGACGACAAGCACCACCCACGACACGATGACGTGTCAACGACACGCGACGCCGACGACACGCGACGACAACGACACGACATGCGACGACGACGACAACGACGACACGCGACGCCGACGACACACGACGACGACGACACGTGAGGACGACGACACGTGAGGACGATGACACGCGAGGACTACGACACGGGACAACGACCACAACCACGACATGCGACAACGACGGCACGCGACGACGACGACACGCGACGACGACGACGACGACGACGACGACACACGAGACGCGACAACGGCAACACGCAACCGCGACCGTGACAACGGCGACACGCGACGACGATGAACGGCCGCCCTGGGACGACAATACAACGCCCACGCGGGACGCGACGAGGGCCAAGCACCACCACTCCTCCCTCCCTCCATGACTCACCACCCCCTCCCATGCTGCTCACTACTCCCCCCCCCTTCCATTCCTCTCTCCCCACTCCATTCCTCTCTCTCCCCCCTCTCCCTTCTTTCCACTCTCCCTCCATTCCACTCTCCCTTCTCCCTTTCCCTCCCCCACCATTCCTCTGTCCCCATCCAATCCTCTCTACCCCCTCCCTCTATTCCTCTTTCCCTTCTCCCTTTCCCTCCCCCCTCCATTCCTCTCTCCCTCTCCCTTCCTTTCTCTCCCCCTCCATTCCTCTCTACCCCCTCCCTCCATTCCTGATCACCACTCCCACCCCCCCCCACTCCTTTCCCCCTCTCTGTAACATAGAATGTAGTAAAATCAACTTATGTAGTTGCTAATACACTTCAATTTTCTTTGTCTCATGAAATCTAAGTACCTCAATTATCAACTTAAGGTCTAAGTCTGGTGGAGTCCAGACAGAGTATACAGACTCCAGATAGACTCCACCTGGATGATCCAGAAATATAGACATTTGGTTGTATGATAGTTGGACTCCAGATGGACTCTGGATATCCAGCTGGAGTCTGCCAGAGTCCATCTGGAGTCCAACTGGACTATGTGGGGGAGTGTAAAGTACACCAATGCTTGATCCACTCTACGAAAGCTCTTCCTACGCTTGTTGCTGAAATGCAAAAAGTCAAGATTCTTCATCGTGCGCTGCAATGGGAGATGTGCCGATCTCTGATTGTTGTATTTGATTGGTACACTTCTACGGGCCCAGAGTTTGCTCAGCGGCTTCTGCAAATTCATCAACAGGATGGCTACAAAGCTTTGAAACTGCAATCGCCGCCATTTGCAGATATTGTGGACCACATCGTCCAATATGTCCAGGAATCGCAGGATGCAGCGCGAGAGGGAAAGCGAACATCCAAGCGGAAAGCCAAAAGCGCCAAACGTACAGTCGCTGCAGGTAAACCTCTGAGAAAGCCACCTACAATGCCTGAGACGCTGCGGGCCAAAATAGGGCCAGTGCGGCAACAGCTTTCTCAGGTTCCTTATGACCTTTACGGCTTACGGGATGGGGCAAAGAAAACTCAAATGATCCATCTTCCAAACCTGGTGCCATATCATGTAAAGCCTGGGTTGGACACTCTTTACACTTCTGGTGGCTACATTCTACAAGAGCTCTGGTCACGGGAGCTTCTTATGCCACACCTGGCTTGTATCGACAAAAAATTCAGCAGCTCTCGTCGCACTGTCGATGAAGCTAAAATTATTGACTGAAGCATTGTTAGAGGCGCAATCCTCCATTGCATAGCAGAGGCGTATGGAACGGATGCTGTTTTTGCTTCATTATCTCTGGAGCCGTTTCTTGCCACCCCTACCATCATCTTTGCCGATCATCTCGAAAGGATA